CTCGGCAACCAAAAAAAAAAAAAGAAACACAGATCTTTTGCAGCAACATGGATGGAGCTAGGAAAGATCATGCTTAGTGAAATAAGCCATAAAGAAAAGGAAAAATATCAGATGGTATCTCCCATAGCAGGAATTTAATGAACAGGCTAGAAAATAATGATAATGATGAACAGCTATATGCCAGAGACATTTTGTGGGGGTGGAGTGGCGAATGGGATCAAAAACAGTCAGGGGAGGGAAATGGTGATGGCACAATGGTGACTTGGTGATGGGGAACCCACAGGGATTGCAACTGAGATAAAAAAAAAACTGTACAAAATGATGTAAAAAATAAACTATTATATTATTTTTTAAAAAAGAATTGTCAGAAAGTGATAAAATGTTAAGAACTTGTAAGCACAGAGTTTGTAGATGCATTGTCATAAAAGAACATAGTTAGAACTTAGTTTTAATCTAATGACCCCCACACTGGCAGCTACAAGAGTTGAGTTTACGCACTAAAAATAGGTAAAGGAAAGTATTACAAAAATATAATCATAGAGGACAATGCCTTAACCAGCACAACAAAGGTTCACTGAGCAATTGCCACATCACAATTCCTACTATGGGTCTTTGATAAACATTACGTTATTTAACACCTAAAACAACAGAGAAAAGATTTTATGTCACAACTTTACTGTTGAGGAAACTGAAGCCTAAAATCTAGTTTATAAATCCACCAGAGGATTTTGACTCCATTGTCATCACTATTATGTCATTCTTAGTACCCAGAGCTTTCCAACCTAAGATTTTATGAACCAGTTTTATAGATAAAGCTTGTCAGTTTCAATTAGAGTGCATAGTAGTCACTTGATCATCTGGGAAACCTGTACTTTGCAGAGTAAACCAGAGAATTCATTTGTTGACTTATGCATCAACACATATATAGTACACCTACTATTCAAGTCAATTTTAATTTATTTTTCAGAAAGGAAGAAAATTACAAAATCATGCTGAATACCTACAGGTTGGTATATACAATAAAGGTTTGTTGAATGAGAACTTTCTAAGTAATCATTTTGTAGATGTCTGCTTAATGTATGTTCTATTTTAATAATTTATTTTATGCAAATTAAAATAAAATTCCCTGAATTTTCACAAAATTTCTTTCAAAATTCAAAATTTTGTGGAATTCTTTCTAAAAGTGTCAAAGACTTCCAAGGTACTGTCCTTGCCACACATGGGAAAGACCTATTTCCAACTGAGATAGCCATCTTTGCTGATTTTTAAAATATAACTAGATTTTAGGCTCATCGTTCTAAAAGTCCAGATAAATTTTATAAATACATGCTGATAACTCAATTTCAAAGGTTACAATGATAATATAAAAAGTAACAAACTGGGCCCTCCCTG